CCCAATTCATATTTCAGGGTCCGATCGATGCTGCGAGGTGCGTCCCCTCCCGCCGCCCTCCTAGCCATCCACGCCTTAAATCTTCGGCTGTTCTCCAGCCACGCCGCCTGCCAAGGGCTCCTTTTAGAATAACGTATTTTCTCCGTTAAGATGGTTCAGCTACTGTAAAGAAAAGGGCACCGTCTCGCGCTCTTTAATCTCATTAGGTGCTCGGCAAGAACGAAAACTTTATTTCTCCGACGCGCCCTGAAACAAGCTCCATATCTCACGCGCTTGAGCGCCCGCTCAGCATCTCGCTCTAGACAGAGCTTTGACATGTTTGGCAGAGCGCCTTGAGCGCAGCGTACAACTAGTATGGATCAACCAATTAACCAATTGATTCATATATAAGGCGCTCCGGATTATAAGGCGTACTGTTGTTTTATGAGAAAATTAAAGGCTTTTAAGTGTGCCTTGGAGTGCGGAAAATACGGTATATTTACTTTAATACTACAAGAGGGCACCCCGTTTGACATTTTTTTGTTTGGCGGCGCCTTTTGTTGAATAACGACATGCGGACAAGAGCAGCCATTTCGAGCGAGAGCCTTATTGTTTTATTAATCTGTTTAAATTGTTTGTGCTTCATCAATTAATGTTTCACATAACTAATGTGCCGCATCATAAATATTTTGATATTAATTTCAAACTTTTCAAAATTGAAAATTAAAAACATTTATTTATTGTAAATGACCTCTCGGGGCCCACATGCAGTACCTTCAGGCCACACTTTGGGAATCGCTGACCTACGGTAATTGTTTGGTCGACAGAGCAGGGAATCCAGAAGTCAAAGAAGGTTCTATTTGACCTAGATAACTTGACATTCCCACCCCTTTATTTCCTGTGAGAAAAATAACTATTAAGGCAGAATAAAACATTGGTATTCCCCATTCCATGCAGCTGGATTCAAGATGATATATTCACACATCAAGAGGGGACGGACATTTGTTTGGGGAGGGAGGGGTGATTTGGGAGAAAGCTAGGAAAGTATAGTGTCTGATCCACACTCCGATGCAGATGGTGGCAGTAATGCAAGAAGGATGCCAACTGCCATAAAACCAAAAAAAGGGTACAGACCGTTAGAGACGGAGCAGAAGCCACAGAGGATCCACGGCAACAGTGAAGAGGTAACAAACTGGACTCACCTCTCTCCTCTCCTCTGCTCTGTCCTGCTCCAAAAATATTGAGGAACTGGTTACCCCGTGGTGTAGACCGGAGTCAAAGACCCTGAGAGGCAGGAACCCTTTTTATTAGAAGTTGGCCTAAATGCCCTTTACCATGAGCTCTTTATTAAAAGGACACTTTTTGTTATGTGATCATTGTCTCCGAGACCCCCCCTTTTATACCTGAATGAAGTTCCCGGTGACCTTTCCACCACCAAAATAGACAATTATGGGGCATTGAAAGCAACCGTTTTAGTTCCTTATTGATACAACCTTCAGACAAGGGCCCAACACTTCCACTCCTGGACCTATGATGCTACAGTCCCAGTGTGACCACAGGTTGCAACCCATATACTGTACGCCTGACGCGCAGTCGCTTAACCTCGGGAGGGACCTCCAGGCCAGGACAGCATTGCAATAGAACATTGTATCAGAGCACTACTAAGAGATGCCAAATCACGTGCCTGTCAAAGCTGCCCGGAGGCAATGAAGGCTCTGGTGGCGCCATTGGAAAACCATCCGCTCTGACCCCAGGGATAAAAGGCGACGGCTGGTGAAGGGTAACATGGAGACACTGTGCTGGCTACATTGAGCCAACCCCTTCATCTGGAGGGGAGACACAGAAGGAGGCCCTGGCCCTAGTGGAGAATCCAACGAGAGGGGATCCACGGTTTTTAAGGTTTTTAGAGGAGTCTCTACTGGCAGAAGAGGAAAATGCCATCAGGCCAGATCATTTTGGGACGGCCCAGTTAGAGGAACCTAACCTGGAGCCAGGGCGTGGTCGAGGGGAAACATATGGAATGTGTGAGTGCTACTCTTTCACATTTTGCGATTCAAAATGGCCACTTATATAGGGTTACTAAGCTGATGGAAAACAATTGCTAAAACAACAATTGTACAAAAGTCTTGTACATAGCCCACTCACACCTGTTGGGAGCACATCTTGGGGTAGAGAAGACCTACATCAAAATCCTGGAGTGCTTCTACTGGCTATAGGTGAAGAGGGCAGTGGAGGATTGGTGCAAACTCTGCCTGGAGTGCCAGAAGACCGCTCCAAATGTACGCTATCAGAATCCCAACAGCCAACCATTACCAAGAGGTAGTCCCGTTACGCACTGCAAGTGCTGAGGGAGTGGCTAGGGAATTATTCCATCTCTTTAGTTGAGTTGGCCTGGCAAAATAAGTCCTAACTGACTCTATTGATTAAGGAGATGTGAAAGCTGTCCAAGGTGAGCCAAATAAGAACCTCAGTCTGCCCGCAGACGGACAGCCCGGTTGGACGTTTCAATAAAACCTATTTATTGAAAGGCTATTTATTTGAATGGAAAAAAACTGGGACCAACTAATCCCCTTAGTCTGGTTTTCAATATGAGAAGTACCACACCGTTCTGGCCAAACAAACATTGGAGAAACAGCTATCAGCCCACTGGTGCGTCATAGAGTATGTGGACCAGATGCAAGGGAGGATGGGTGAAATATGGCCCCTAGCGCAGGAGCATATGCAACATGCCCATCACGCGGTGGATGTGATCATACGCAGTATTGACAGAACATCCCATTCGGCCACCTGAGAGCTGTCCTGGGAAGCCTAGGGAGAGCTGGCCTGAGACTATTGTCGTCAGTGCAGATGCCTCAAGATCAGGTGTTGCAGGTTATGGGAAGGAACACCCAATAACCTATATCAACCATAAGTTGCTAAAGCATAAAATAAATGATTCTACTGTGGAAAAAGAAAGAATGTCTGGCAATAACATGGGCGCTAACCAACAAGCGCTTTACCTTCTGGGAAGAAAGTTCATGCTGGTAATGGATCATGCACCGCTAAGATGGATGTCAACAGCCAAGGACACTAATCCACAAGGTACACTGTGGTTCCTGGAGTTGCAAAACTGGGTTACCACTACTGGTGTCACGGATGGATAAGTCTGGATCACCCCTCACAATATAGCGTGTAATAAAGTTCCTTTTACAGGTACTGTGGTACCTGTACTTTAAAAATGGTACGATCTTCCATATTTTTACTATCAATACTTAGTATCGAAAAGATCACAACGCACTCACTGCTCCCTCAGCGCTGCCTGCACGCATTGACCAAAAGGAAGCGGGGCTGCGCAGTGCATGCTCACAGAGGATACATAGCCTGACGTGAACAAGCTCTGGGTGACCGTCCTCTGCTTGTTTGGGAAAAAAAGATGCCAGAAGTGAAAATTTGAAATACTTTGGCTACGTTACATAGCCGTGTATAATCAATCCTATGATGGCACCATGTAGTTTTCACTGATATCTTGCTCTTGCCTAATACTTTTATTAATGGCATTTGTTAAGTGTTCACATAGGTGGGCAAAATCAAGCTGGTTAAAAAGGGAACCATGTTTTATTTATTACTATCAGATAAATATACAGTATTGTATCAAATTCTGGTATTGAATCATAAGTATCGGGTATCATGATATGTATGGCAGGTATTGTATCAAAGCTTGTATATCATTATTATGGATTAAGGGTGGTAGACAAAACCAGTACGGTATGTCGGCATTGTTTACAAAGAAAGCCGTACAAACACAGCAATACAAATCCACATTATTCCGAATTCAGTGTTTTAATCCAAAAATATAAACGTGTTATACCTGAATGTGTAGCTACTGACTTTCTGCATGAACAAGTAAAGTGATGACATTTTTGAGAAAAGCATCCAAAATAGCTGCCACGATGTAGAAACCACCTGCATGCTCAAATATTCTTTATGGGTGCTTTATTCTTTTAAATCATTCTGTGTTGTGTTGACATAGGTAGCCGTTGTATAAACAGCTCTGGGCATTGCGTCAGCCTACCTTCCTAAATATGGTCAGGTACGGCCTCCTTTTGACAACTTGGCACACGATAATTAATGGAAGTTTACTTTGACCTCTATTGCTCATTGCGCATGTGGTCACTGGGAGACATTTGTATAGAGTGGGTTGACTAAAAAAACTGATTCCATATCACTTTGTGGCATTTTTGGAGGGTTGTGGTTTAACAATGAGGGGTGCAATGCTGCTGGTTTTACTGGTCTGTCTGTCTGGGACATATGCGCAATCAGCAACTAAAGGAATTAGCTACGCTCCTTTGCCAGCTGATCTGAAGATCACAGACATATGGGATGAGCTGAAAGCTCTGAGATTCATTGTGGAGGACCAAACCATGGACCTGACGAATGCCAGAGCTGACCTAAGAACCCAGATGCGGAAAACCAATGATCTAGAAAACGAGAACATAGGTAGTATTTTCACTACATCTATGATGTTCCGGTTAGGATGCAATGAATTTTAATCTGTTAATTGTTTTCTAGCTCAATCATTTAGTAAGTGAACTGTTAGTAAATGGTAAACAAACAATATTCCTTGTGAATGAAAAGTTTGGGATTTTATTGGTTTTATAATGTTCAAAATCAACATGAACACTCATTTCATAACGAGATAAAACATAAGAGACTAATGCTAGTTTACATAATCTGTAATGTGATGCCAGTTGCAACTTTCTGCATACACTTTTCCTAGAAAACTAAACAAACAAAAACCAACAACATCAGACACCACAGACGCCAGGCAATCGGCAAAGTCAAAGAATATTCAACCTTTACACTTTCCCCCTGTAAATCAAACAAATAAACCCTACAACTATGGACACCACAAAACTCAGCGCTTTTGAGGAGTCAAAGAAACGCAATGTGATATTGGTGGCACTACACGCTGACAACCTGGAATTTATTTAATAAACAGCTTTGCTTAAAAAAAGTCATCCTCTGCCCTTTTGTTATTTCAGAGATACGATCCAGATTGACAGATACTGAAAACAATGTAGTAAATATTAGAGCAGAGCTGGAAGCGACTAAAGCTGAACAGCAGCTGGAGAAGAACAAACTGGCAGAGGCAAGGAATCTCCTTCCTGGTAAGTAATTAGAAAAACCGCAGACTGTGTAGTTCTAGACCACACAAAAAGGGCAGTGAGGAGTAATTGGCTTTCGTGCTTCTGGTAAAATCAGTTTCCAGAGTATAACCTGTGAGGAGGAGGCTCAGAATCAGACGGACGAGGTGAATGCTCTCAGTGAACAGCAGCATCATTCTAAGATTATATTACTGAGACTCACTGCTTCCAATTTCCCAACACCACCAGACCCAACAGACACCAGGGAATCTGAGAAGTTAAAGGAAGTTCTGTGGACTTGAGTGAGTGGGACTTTAGCTCGCAAATGTTTGCTTTACGCGCGCATGGACCTGATTTGCGCTCTCGGATTTTGACATTGATTTGCCTTCATAAGCACGAGAAGAGGAAAGAGTTGAATGCTCAGGAAAGACCTGGATTTTTTAAGACTTACCTCTTACACTTTCCAACCATATCCAAACAAACAAACAAACAAACAAACCCTACAACACCGGACACACAGATAAAGTCTCATAAAACAAACCGTTATCAGCAGGAAGTCCATTACAGAGGCTCTAAAATGAGTGAACAAGTTTGCAATTGTAAAATAAAATAAAAATGATGTAGCTTAAAAACTGTTATTTCAGATATGAACTCTAGACTGACAGATACCGAAAACAATTTGTTAGGTATTACAGCAGAGCTAGATGTGACTGAAGCTGAACAGCAGCTGGAGAAGAACAAACTGGTGGAGGCCGAGAGATTTATGGTAGATAATTTACAAAATTGCAGACTGGATCACTCCAGATGATCTTGAAAGCAGTGAGAAGCAATTGGCTTCCTTGCTTCTAATAAAATCAGGCAAGACTAGTTTCCAGAGTACAACCTGTGTGCGGGAGGCACAGAATCAGAAGGAGGTGGTTAATGCTCTTAGAGAATAGATGGATTTTTTTAAAGACTACATTATAAAACTTAATGTTTACAAATCATCATCTTCTGCCTTTTTGTTATTTCAGATTTGAACTCCAGACTGACAGACACTGGAAACAATGTCAAAGCGGTAACAGCGCAGCTGGAAGCGACTAAAGCAGAACAGCAGCAGGAGAAGAACAAACTGGTGGAGGCTGAGAGAAAGATTGCTGGTAGGTAAATAACAAAATCGCAGACTGTGTAGTTCTAGATCATCCTAAAATGGCAGTGAGGAGTAATTGGCTTCCGTGCTTCCGTGAGTCCAACCTGTGTGGAGGTGGCACAGAATGCTCTCAGTGAACGGCAGCATCTTTCTAAGACTAAATTACTAAGACTCACTGCTTTTACTTTCCCGCTGAAATCCAAACACATCGTACAACTTATACTTGGTATAAGTAAAATATGTTGTAATTTTCAGTGGATTACGACAAATAAGTAATGTAGTTTTATGAAGAATGCATTGAATTTTACTTTACAAAAGCCTTGCTTCAAAAATCTCCATCCTCTGCCTCTTTGTTATTTCAGAATTGACCTCCAGATTGACAAATACTGTAAACAATGTGGAAGCGACAAAAGCAGAACAGCAGCAGGAGAAGAACAAACTGCTGGTGGCTGAGAGAAAGATTTCTGGTAGGTAAATAACAAAATCACAGACTGCGTAGTTCTAGACCACACTAAAATGGCAGTGAGGAGTAATTGGCTTCCGTGCTTCCGTGAGTCCAACATGTGTGGAGGAGGCACAGAATGCTCTCAGTGAACGGCAGCATCTTTCTAAGACTAAATAACTAAGACTCACTGCTTTTACTTTCCAGTAGTTGGTAATGGATGACGACAAATAAGTAATGTAGTTTCATGAAGAATGCATTGAATTTTACTTTACAAAGGCCTTGCTTCAAAAATCTCCATCCTCTGCCTCTTTGTTATTTCAGAATTGACCTCCAGATTGACAAATACTGAAAACAATGGGGAAGCGACTAAAGCTGAACAGCAGCTGGAGAAGAACAAAATGGTGGAGGCTGACAGAAAGATTTCTGGTAGGTTATATAACAAAATGGCAGGCTGTGTAGTTCTAGACCATCTAAACTATTTAGTTACTAGAATCTTCATCCTCTGCCTCTTTGTTATTTCAGTTATAGACTCCAGACTGACAGACAGTAGAAACATTGTGGTAACGACTGCAGCGGAGCTGGATGCGACTAAAGCTGAACAGCAGCAGGAGAAGAACAAACTGGCGGAGGCCGAGAGAAAGATTGCTGGTGGGTAAATAACAAAATCGCAGACGCTAGACCATCTTATAAGGACAGTGAGAAGTAATTGGCTTCTAGTAAAATCAGGAGAACTGGTAGAGGCAAGGAAACTAATTTCTGGTAGGTAATTAGAACACTTGGTAAAAGTGAAATATAATATCAGTCGCAGTGGATGACGACAAATCTTGATGAATCTATTAACTACTGCTTAACAAAAGTCTTGCTCAAAATAACGTCATCCTCTGCCTCTTTGTTATTTCAGATGTGAACTCCAGACTGACAGATGCTGGAAACAATGTCAAAGCGGTTACAGCGCAGCTGGAAGCGACTAAAGCTGAACAGCAGCTTGAGAAGAACAAACTGGTGGAGGCTGAGAGACAGATTTCTGGTAGCTAATTAACAAAATCGCACACACATCTGTAATTCTAAAAAGTCTTGAACAAGCAGTTACAAAATATTTAGGTTTACTTCTGTGTTTCTAGTTTTATCAGACAACTTGGCAAGACTAGTTTCCAGAGTGACAACCTATGCGGGGGGCGCACAGAATCAGAACGACGTGGCGAATTCTCTGATTGAACAGATGGCTATTTGTAAGACTAAACAACAATCCTTTGGGCACAGATTGGATGATATGCAACGGACAACTTCAGGTATTTAAAAAATAAACAGACTACTGTCTAACAATGATTGTTATGGATTCCTCTTGGAATGAACCAATGGTTTATGTTACTTTTAATAAAGAAAATCTGAGTTGGTGATTGTAGAAAATCTTAAAAGAGCTGTGACTATATATTAGCTTGTTTGCTTCTAGTAACAGCAGCAGAACTGGCAACCCTGGTATCCAAAGTGGCAACCTGTGAGCGGGAGGCACAGAATCAAAAGGAAGCGGTGAATGCTATCAAGGAAGAGCTGGACATTTGTAAGACTAAACAACAGTCCTTTGGGAACAGATTGGATGATATGCAAAGGACACCTACAGGTATTTCATTCCATTACATGTCATTTAGTCAACGCTTTTATCCAAAGCAACTTTCAATAAGTGCATTTCAACCATAAGGATACAAATCCAGAACAAGAAAGTGCAATTTCATCAAATAGGCCGATTTACAAATTTACAACTTGCTATAGATAAGAGCCATTAAAAGTAGAATTAAAGTGCTCAAAGTGCTGAGTCAGCGGCGGAAGATGTAAAGACTCTCTGCGGTCCTGGTGTCATCAGAGAGCTCATTCCACCATTTAGGAGCCAGGACAGCAAAGAGTCGTGAACTTGTCGAGTGTTTCGCTGTCAGTGAGGGAGGAATAAGCTAAATGAACAGACTGTCAAACAATAATTTGTATGGCTCTCTTGGAACGAACCAATGGTCTGTTACCTTTTAATAAAGAAAATAAGAGTTGGCGATTGTAGAAAATCATAAAAGATCATATATTTGCTTCTGTGCTTCTAGTAACAGCAGGAGAACTGGTAACCCTGGTATCCAAAGTGAAAACCAGCGAGTGGGAGGCACAGAATCAGAAGCAGGCGGTGAATGCTCTCAGGGAAGAGCTGTCTGTTTGTAGGACTAAACAACAGTCCATTGGGAACAGATTGGATGATATGCAAAGGAAAACTGCAGGTATTTCAAATATAAACTAACTACTGTCAAATATGATATGTATTGAATTTAACCAGTCGTTAATCAGATCATCCTTTTTGTTACTGTTGGTGACTTTAATACTACTTGAATTTTGAAAAGAAAAGTGAGAACATATTTGCTTCTGTGTTTTAGTAACAGAAGCACAACTGGAAAGCCTGGTTTCCAAAGTGGCAACCAGTGATAGGGATGCTGAGAATTATAAGAGGGAGGTGAATGCTCTTTTTAAGGAGCTGGACACTTGTAAGCCGAAACAACCAACCATTGGTGACAGGTTGGATGAGATGCCACAGCCAATTACAGGTAATTTTATTAAGAAACAGACTCATTTAAAACAAGAACTTGCATTGCTTTCCCTTGATAAGAGCCCATTGTTTATAATATTGATATCTACAACAATAACTCCTTTTAGCATCATAATCTGGTCCCCTTTAAATGTTTCCATCCTGTGTTCACAGGCGCTCCGAAGGTGGCTTTCTCCGCTGGCTTGACCACTTCAGGAAACATTGGACCATTCACTACTGAAACTACACTCGTCTACGGAAGAGTCTTCACAAACATTGGCGGGGCTTACAACCCCGAGACAGGTATGCCTTCCCGCAACTTCCTGTTAAGAGTCTAAGAGAAAGACAAGGCTGACCTGATCTGATCTGATTCTCCAATGTTGCAGGCATCTTCACGGCACCTTTCAAGGGAGTTTACTATTTCAGATGCACTGCCTTCAACAACCGGAAAGGACAGTGGATGGCGGTGAATTTATACCACAATCATGAGATTATTATGCATAATTCAGAGGTAGCTAATGGTCATACCACTATTGCAAATTCATTAATTTTACAGCTGGAACAGGGAAGTGTGGTCTATATGTGTCTCCAAAAAAACTGTGGGCTTTATGACGATTCTACGACCTGGAACACCTTCAGTGGTTTTCTGCTTTTTACTCTGTAACTTTTCAAATTTAGTTGATCTCCACCAAGACCACGAGGACTTTTTCTTCAGGATTTGTGAAAATTGTCCTTGGTGTCTCAAAATGATGAGGCCATTGACAGACAATGGAGACACAAGCAGATGAAACTTTAGTTTCTCAGACTCCTCTAATGTAAAACTGTCATGCATAGGAATGACATAAACCGTATTTGTATGCTTCACCCAGTAATTCTGCTGCCTTTGTCAACTTAAGATGTGATATTGATAGCATGGTTGGAATGACTTTTTATCTCAATGCAATATAAAGAAACTTGCTTTTAATCTCTTTAAAAAGAACCGGTATTGTATTTCCAACAAATGCAATAATTTGGTTTTTATCACGGGCCAAGTTGTGTTAAAAATGCCAAAGAGTCCGGTATGAGCTGCAAGAGCAAGATGGAACCATGTTTTTCAAATATTTATAACACAATGTTAAGTTGCAATACCCTCGCATTCCGTATGTTTATTAAACTGAATTAATGAAAATGTTTGCAGTCATAAAGGCAAGTTATCACAGCTTACGTGTGTGAGAAATGATCAGTCTAAAATCATGGTATCGACACATGGAGTACATGCAACCATGGTAACACAGAGCTATAAGTATAACAACATAGCAAAATATGGAATTTGAATTTTTGACTTAACTTACTGAGCAGGTGTACTGGTATCACATTATAAAGAATAATTAAAAAATCAGAAGTACTCCATTACTCTCTCATCACGTTGAACTAAGACACAGGTCTAGGTAGCACGTGTCGAAGAAAGTCAGGTAAAAGATGAAGGGTATGAGCACATGCACAAACAGACAAGTAGAGATGGACCGGCATCACAATCCCTCACGCCTCGGCTGAGAATAAGGATTGGAGAAACATGGTAATAGAAGATAGGGTGGAGCTGCCTTTCTCAGCTTCTATGCCAGAGTGACAAAGTGGCTGAGGCGACAACCCAGGTAGAAAAATTAGACATTTAATGACAGAGCTGGTTTTAAACTGCGTTTCCGTCACTTTAAAAGACAGCTGTCATGGTGTGTCAGTGTGCTTATCATTCAAAATATTTTATACCGTGGCATCAGACTGGCTGAAGGCTCTGAATTTACTGACACATAATAGTCTCGCACATCCTATTTGCAGTGGCTACCTCAGGCTGTTTTCCACAAAGCATTCACTGTAAAAGTCCTCTTTTACTTTGTGATTTCAAATCTTTAATTTGGAAGCAGAGAAAGGACTCGTGTTTAGCATTAACTTAAAACCCCGTTAGACGCTCAGGCTTCTCTCCTGCCGCATGTTTCCAAGTCTTTGCCCAACAAACTGGAAGGCGAGTCCGGCCACTTTGCCATGTTTTCTGACCGATTATATGCCGATGTAAGCAAGAAGGGATCTCTGAGCACACAGACTTGACAGTCAATTCATACTGACAGGATTGGGCGACAAAAGTCCCATTAAAAAGATAAGTGTGAACAATGCCTCTGTCATTGCAGGTGTGTCGATCGGTAAGCACAATTTGAGTGTCCTGAGCTCTTACTTGGAAAGAAACTTTGGGGATGTGCGGATACAGAGAAAAGCAATACCAGAGGCCAATAAATTGTCACCTGTCACCTTCCAGACAGCCACATTTGGAATGGACATTGTAGTAGCTTCTATTGATATCACAACATCAAGAATACATAGCTGCGGTGAGAAAGAGAGCGGTAAACGCTTTGAGGCAGGGTCAAATTGAGTTCATCCTTGTTGCTGTAATGCTAAAGTGACTGAAATAATTACTGTCTGCACACAGGCATGTAGGGATGTTATTTGTAGGAATGATCAGAATAATAACAATATGTAGTCTGTTTTGCTGTCAATTATTATAGTACTGCAGGGAACAATGCTTTACAAATAGCTAAATGAATAAATAATCAATGCTTCTCAAGCTTATTAAATATCTGTATTAAGAATTGTAAAACCAAAGATGGATTTAGGAGATCACAGCAAATGCATGCCTGATCACTACGCAACACATAGGACCAGTGGTGATGAATCCACCTGATGCATTGTGGAATACAATGTGGAATTTACGAATTTAATAATGAAGACAATTAATAGAAAACATCCAAAACAGATAAAACAAAAGAGCAAAGTAGATTGAGAGATGTTTTTATTTATTAGGGGAAGACATACAGTTCCAGTCAAAGTTTGGACCCAATTTCTCGTTCAGTTCAATGAGAAAGTGTGGCCAAACCTATTACTGTTACTATAATATAGAGGGGGAAGTTAAAAAAAAGTATCGGACACTTATATAAGCTTTGAATTTTGCGAATTTTTCAAATAGTGCTTAGTTCCTCTGTGCCCGGTCCAAATGCGTCATGAGACTGAATCCCAAAAATAAACTAGTTTGAACAGAATTTAACAGGTTCTTCTATTCTGCAAACATTACCGTGCTCTTTTTTCCCCGTCGGAAGCTAAGCGGCATGGATGCCCGAATCAGTAAAAGTAAATCCGGAGAGAATGTGGGGAGAGAGCCCGGGTGAAAGATCTGGGACGGTTTATCCATGGCAAATCAACGCACACCCAGTCATAGTCACGCACGCACACACACTCAGAGTTTGGTGTCATGAAGACCTTGTGAAAATTACATACTGGTAGTTTAATGCTCTTAAACTGCAAGATTAAGCAAGCATAAAAAAGGTTGATGAAATATCCTTTTGGTCCCGAATTAAACAAGACCTCCTCTTACAATACCGATCAATAAAAAGCCACTACAGTGAAAAGTAGACTACCAAGTAAACACACCTGTGAACATGGATTTATTCTACTGGAATGTGTGCGCACACAATTGTCTAGCAATGCTGACACACTAACAACATTACACACTTAATGAGTCCTATTGCTCAACACCTGTGTGAAGACAAATAATTGCATCTCATAGGCTTGTTGAATGTTTGTCTCTAAATAAGGCTCTCAATAATCCCATCTCTCTGCTATTTGGGAAGAGCCAGAGTATCACAAATGCAACAAAAGCTGCAAACCAAGAAGCTCATTCTTTCATTTCAACAGTGATTGCAACTCCTTCACTTTAAAGCAAGTTGATTTGATTCTGTATGAACATGAGAAGAATCAATTGTTGGTGGATGGAGCTTACAATACTGCAATGGTTGTTTAAGGTCTAAACAAAAAAGTATTGTTCCGTAGTTCATGTATACATACTAAGCTAATATGATTTGAGCACAGCGGCCTAAGCAGCTCAACAAGAAAGAAAGCTTCTTTTACTTCTACTGCTTCTACTGATCTGGCTCGCGTGTTACAAAACCCAACAGTTAAACGTGACTCGCGGAAACGCAGCAATGCTCTTGTGTTATGCTCCGCACCAATTAATTTGCAAAGAACCAAAGTGTAACCTCAATTTCAACAAAAAAAAATATTTTTTTCTCTAAATTATAAAATACAAAGTTATGACCTTTGTGTTGTTAGATTCAGTTTCAACGCAGTTAAAATAATTTGAGCCAAAACTGAAAAAGTAAGCGCACTGTCAGCCAACACACTGACAGCCAGCTCCACTCCCAGTCATGTGAGCTTTAGAGGATTCTCATTTTACCTTGTCGTCCAGTATACCTGCACAAAAACCGAACAAACAAAGATGGCCGCGTCCCGACATGTGAGGTCACTGCGGAATGGAGTCGGTGTAAAGTCACCGACAACCAAAGAAAAGGCCCGGAGACCGAAAATATGAAAATTACAAAGATAAAGATAACAAAGTAACCAAGAGATAAGACAACTGTTTTTTAACAGAAAGTTGACAGAAGCGCAGTTTTGTGTGATTTATCTGTGCAGGTGTGCGTAGCTCAGCGTTCAAACTCAATAAGAAAATATAAATTATGAGACTTGATTCATAGTTGGTTGTTAGACCCTTTTTAGGGTGGGGCTCATTTATTTATGTATTTTGTGACTTTGTTATTATCATTACTTCTATTGATGTCAATGTTTTAGTTGTTAAGCAGACTCGCCCCATGCGCAGATCCCAACAGAGGCAAAATGCTAAGCGTTCAAAGCTCTTTTCAACCAGAGCGAATTTGGGGGTTGGCTGTCCCCTGGGGGGTGGTGCACATGGAATGTTGTGTTCACAAACCACAGACAACAAACCCTACTCATTCGTTATAAAGTTTCTCCAAAGAATTATATTAAGATATATATTAAGAATTATAAATCAGGAAAAAAAAATTGGGTCCATCAGCACAGTGAATCCTGGTGTGGACTCATAAGCTGTTGGCGCCCCAGTGTGCTGAAGGAAAAGTCTCCACTTATTAGCATGAGGAGGAGGCTGCTGTGGAGTAAGTCTGCATGGTTCTACCTCCCAGCAGATGCCTGATTATATATATGAATAAGCTGTTGCTAAATAGCGTCATGAGCTAACTATCACCACGGGAGATGAACACTGGATTGTGTCGTCTCTGTGAGGAGCTCTCTTTTCCCTCTTAGTGTGTGCACATCTGCACGTCTCTCCCTCCAGTATATTTGCCATTAAGAGGGACTAAGCATTTCATTACAAGTTTACTGATCTCCCACTGTGTCATTGAAGCCAGAAGCTGGTGTGGCTTTTCTTTCTAAGAGATAATAATAACAGAATCAAAGGGGGGGGAGCGTGTGTTTGTGTGTCTGTATATTCCAGTAATGCTGATGTAATCGTAGGCTCAAGCCCAATTAGCCTAGAGGGTTACTCTGTAATAATCCCTGCCCCAGGGCATAATGGCTTATTAAAGCAGCGCTGGACAGAATAAATAATAGTGTGTCTATGGAATGAGAGAGAGAGGGACAGAGAAAGAAGGAGAGGCTGGAAGACAGACTTGTTTAAAAACACAGTCTTATTTTTACTATGAGGATGGATATGGTCACACGTCTAACTTACAAAAATACAATAGTTAAAATAGGAATCATACATCATTCGCTCTTCTCTCGGGTCTACAAAACTCAAACTTCCAAACATTTAACGACCAAGGTGAGAGCAGTATTGTAGCAAGAAAGGACGTTTTTTTGTTTGTGTGGCAATAATGTTTGATATAAAGAGGCAGAATACAAGTCAAGAGACCTTCCTACAAAGGTGCCGCGGGAACAAAGCTGCAACTATAAGAGATACAGCACCCCAGACATCTCATCAGAAAAAGCTATTATTTTGACTTTAAAAATGGTGAGAAGGTCAAGATTATACGCAAGTAAGTACACATATACAGTAACAAGGAGGAAGCTCATTCGATATCAAGGCATCTTGTGTTATTATCAAATGCAATCCGAAAGATTTACTTGTTTTCCTTGTCTACAACGCAGCAGAGGGATGTTTGAAACATCTACTGCCTCCATCCACTCTGGATACGGCCCAAGGGGAAAAAAAAACATATATATATATATACAACTTAAAACTTCTAAACTTAAATATTTTGCTTCGGTTCACCTTCTTTCTTGAGTATCCAAAGGTGATATATTATTTCGGATACGGATGAGAGCCATACAGCAGACACAAGAAAAACAGAAGAAATGAATACATCACGGAGCACTTGTGTGGTTGTATTGGTGTCATATGTCCAGAGGGAACATTTTATAAGACCGGTGCAAATTAGAGCTTTTGCATTCAGAAAATGTATTTACCCCAAGTGGTTAGATGGTTATTGGTAAAAAGAAGGGAAACATAATGTCCAGGACCAAAAAAAGCTGCATTTCAAGCATCATTAAATGCACCCGTCTGCAAACATCAATCTTCAGAAATTCAGAACTTTCTTTTAAGCAACACCAAATAAACAGTTATATACACATATGCAAGAAGTCAATTTAGCTTTTTTAAAAAAGATCCTACATTAAACTTTACTCAACCATATACTTGAAAATGCATTTTTTGTATTTCCAAAGTTTTGCGGCTGTGATACTTTGAATCATTTGAAAACAAAGATTACAGTTAAAGCTATTTTGATATGCTTCTAATTCCTTGGCCGTCCACAGCTTCCAGTTTAATGTTTAGTTGTAAACTTTGGCAATCTTACCTGACGATAAGTCTACGCGGTTGTTTCTGGTCCCCATGGTAACATTGATATGAACTGCAGCCTTGCTGTCCTCCAGGGAGATCTCCAGCGTCCCGTCATCAAGATTACTGAAGAGGAGGAGCCCATCAGGGTTCCATGTACGAAACTGGAAGCTCACAGATATTGTGTCGTGATTTGCCCGACCCGGCAGTTGCAAGAAGCTGGTGGCATTGAAAAAGACCGGGAAGGTGTGGGTCTCCACGCAGGAGAAGGACAGGTTACGCTGTCAAGAAACAGATTCAGAGAGAGAGAAATCAACACAGTGAAATTTACTGGTCTCCAAGAGCAAATTCAAACATAAATCTCTAGAGTGTACGCTTGTATGTGAAGCTGTTTGAAGGTTTTCAATGTCCTGCCACTTCATCATGTATTTATTCGCTGTGGTTTGTTGCTTTGAATCTACTACAAGTTTCCCTTCAGATGTTCCTGACTGAAGCTGGATTCAAAGACCGATGTTGCTTGTGCACGTTGCCAAAGAAATTCCTCTTTTGCCCAATCCTGTCTTTGAGAGCACGGTTGTGAAGTAACTTGGGGGCACTGTTTGTGTGACGGATGAAACCACGCGTCATTGAGGATTTCAGGCCCTAATTACCAGTGAGCTTCCACAACCTTGTGGTCTTAATCAAATCATCCACAAATGCAGTATATTGATCTGCCTTACGAGCTATAGGCGATTCCCTCTTACTTTGTATGTGTGTGCGTGTTTTTTTGGAAATTTGAGAGCAGATCTGCTTTGATTAAAATGTCTGCAGGAATCTTAGATAATTAGTGGTGATGCTTTAACACACTTTATCATTGCCACTATTTGTTCAATCAATTCACCAGAGATAGAAGAAGATTTTAGTTGTCCACTACTGAGGAAGAACTTGAGAAGGTGAAAGACGAGAGTTCTGAAACACGCTCTTTAAACCGGGACTAATTTTAAGAATAAAAAACCTTTCAGGGTTTCAGATACGGGAAAACAACCCAGATGCAAAGTCAGTACAGCCATTCTATCAAGAGACAGCACAAAGACCGGAGGCAAACACAGCAGGCGGCCCTCATGGGAGAGTTTTATCCGATTCATCAGGAATCTGTGAAACTATTTTGGTGCGGTGAATAAACTACGCTCTCACTCAGGTCAGATAACAGAGTTAGTGGGACAATAATGAGCATATTTTCTTTTCAGCTGCATTTAGAGGCATGTTGCTTCAAATTCTTTAGATTCATATGTTTGCAATTGAGTTCTGTTTTTGATTTCATGTATGTGTATGAGAGAATGTGTGTGTGTGTGAGCGTCTTACAAAGCTGGAGGTGTCCAGCTTCTTTCGGCGGGCCAGGTCAGTAATGTTGTCTCCATTGTAGTTGATGCTCTCCATGCAGCCTTTAAAGTTCTTCCTTCCTCCTCCGACGGGCTTCCCGCTGTACGGCATACCCCCAAAACTCAACTAAAGGAGAGCAGAGTGCAGGTAAATGAAAAGAGATGGATAGTGAAAAACAGATTTTGAATACCTTTATCGTTGATCAGCTTCTACCTCTAGTAAGATACTAGCAACAACATTAGTGTAACATGCAATCAAATCATCTATATTGGTTTCATTGCTCAGCCATTAGCCGAAAAACAGGGATTACAGAAGAATGTGTAAAGTAATAAAGGCATTTTTTAAATGTGGTGTCATAGAGATGTGTCCATGACTAATTTTGTAGTGCCACCTGTAGGTCCATTGTGTGAATGAATTATACATTTACATTTTATATTTATATAAATATGATTGGCGCAGCAGTGGGAGAAACGATTGTAGGAAGAAAACAGATGTCGAGGAACAGATACAATGAGGGCAGAACTGAGGAGATGGAGGCCAATAAACCGGCATCTGGTTGGAAGCGCTGAAGGACACAGAACTGATGGAAATGTAAACGGCGTTCCTTATTTCTTCTACACTCGAACATGTGTTTTTTTTCTTTCAGACATTGCTCTGAGAAGAGGTGCGCAATAACAAGTAGTTGTGTGTGTGTGTACGTGTGTGCTTGTCTGTGTCTGTGGGGACGCTCCAGTAGTCTTCGTAATTACTGCTGAGGGTGGACACAAATGCATCCGGATATTTAGTCCGCCAGCTTAAATGGGGGCAGAGCGCGTACAGACGTGCACACGCGTACACAAAGACTCGCAGAAGATGAAGAGCGTGGGCTTTGTGGAATACTGTGGCACACTCGAAAAGCTGGTCACAATCAGAAGACTCACAGACTCAGTCAGGCAATAACTCTGCAAAGATCCACTAAGGCTGTCGCCTGTTGTATAGATTTCCCTAAAGATCATTTCATTTAACAGCTTCAGTTTAATTGGACCGTGGTTTGTCTTGACCCATTTCTCAGTATCCCACTTGACACTGAAACAGATCGCCGGAATCAGCAATCGCGGCTAAAGGTCACACACAACCTGCAAGCAGCGGTTTGCACACACATTACACGCAAGCACATTTCATACTCATTAAGCATTCCAGAATCAATGACCTATTCTAAGTATTATTAGTTACTGTTTGTGTTTCTTCACTGAATGCCATTAATGATGTGAGTTGCATGGATTACCAGGTTTCCTGGGTGGTATAAATGCACTGGGCTGAAAGATGAAGCCCAGATACCACCACAGTTGTCAAAATCAGTGTCACACATAAGGACTAGCAATGTAGCTCAACACAAATAACAGGTATGAATAAGTAAAGATAGTATTCTGTCACTCACAGGTTTAAAATGATCAAACAGCCCCCCCCTAAAACTCCAAGCGATTTTTTTCAAGGTGTTCAGATGTGAAAACTGCTCACCCTTGGAAATCAGTGTTGCCAAAGGCGGCGAAAGAAATATCTTGCCGCAGTTTTCTATTAGACTTTGTTCACAACACCATCATTAGTTACAAACTAGGACACCTCAAGTGTTAATGGAGCACAGCCTGCTAGCTATAACAGGCAGACAACTCAAGTGGATCGCTATACTCAACATGGCATTTTGGCATACAATAACTAACAGGACCCCCCCACCTCCCCTCGGGCACGGCCAGGTTTGTTTAAAGCCGGGGAATTACTGAATAGACTTCAAGAGGAAAAATTCAAACGCACTGCTTTGTGTGCTTCTGCAGCCTGGAGAAGATGGAACCCTGGAAGTGATTTAAAAGGTGAAAAACTAAACCATCAAACACGGAGTGCAAATTGAGACTATCTATAATTGTATGTGTGTATTTAGGCATAATTGTTGGATTCATTTCCTCGTCTATTTCGAAGGAGAGACTCATATTTTACGTCCCTTCATTCTTTTTTCTCTATGTGGTACTCGCTTCTCACCTCGTAGTCCAAATCGAGGTGGTCAAACTCTCCGTTGGTCCTGAAGTGCTGAGTGTGACTGTCCAAGGAGAAGTTAACATTCCGCCGGTAGCGTTCGATCACCACCGCGTGCCAGTGATTGTCATCCAAGAGGCTGCCGGTGGTCACAGAGGTATGCCCCAGGATAGATCCATACTGATTACTGCCTGTAGTTAACATGTTATAATTCAACAAGGTATAAAAGCACAGACATTGGATATTGTAAAGAAAGCAGTATGTAATAACGTGATGATTTGTCAGGCGGTACAAACAGCAGTTAAATTATGTGCGTTCATTTTAAAAGTTATTCTTAGCTTAACATGGACCAATGAACACAAAATGTATTGGTGACTTATCAGGCAGGGATATTAAAAAATCCACAACCAATGTAGTTTTGCTACAGTCATTAGACTGCGCAAGAGTCAGAGTGGTTACAGCTTGGCCTTAGTCATCAATTTGATAATTAGTAGCTGCAGTACCAGTCCAAAGTTTAGTAAAAGTATATTGAAGACATTGTGGCAGTAGGCTGCTAATACGTTACGCTTTGTATTTGCCTGTCCTGAGTAGATGACTTGTATGAGTTTCCCACCCAGGTTTATCTGCAGCAGCAGCTTGGCCATGCGAAGCTCCAGGGTGATGTAGTCGCCCTGCTGTCCCTCCCCGTGAAGAATCACACCGTCACTCTCTGACGTCTTGAACCTCAGTGCGATCACGTCCTTAATGATCTTCATCTTCTTCACCTGAACGCGTCAAAAAATGCACCTTATGAAAAAGAAGACCAATACGGGTACAAATACTTTTATCAAAATAACATCCATTACCTTAAAGCGATAAGAGATGACACCCTGTCCGTCAAAGTTGATCACGCCCGCCCCTAAAAAAAGAGGTAACATAGACAGACAAAAGAGATCTATTAACAAAAATAATGAAAGAGGAAATTACGACAGAAAGACAGCAAAGATAACAGCAAGAGAAAATGAGGGAGGCAAGACCGGAAAGGTTTGCTGATAAGTGATGTAAATTGTGAGGTCCCTCATCCCAAACTAAAGCCAATCTTCTTTTAAGACTGGGTCAATCAATTGGCAATTGTTAACAAAATCTTTATTTGTGTCTTCACTTTGGATTCACTTTGGCTCACTATCACACTGCCATGTCTCACTGGGATATCTGAATGAAACAGAGCCAGGATTTAACTTTGCTGTGTAAGATTTTCCATAAACAGAACAAATACTGTTAGCAAAGAAATTTGTTCACAGTAAACATTTCCTATAGTATTGCATTGTCATGTATCTAAAGGTCCTATAGAAAAGCAATTAATACCAATTATAACACATATTATTTTCACCACACATGCAAACCTTTGACTGGGCTGAGTAAGGTAGGTAAGTAAAGGTCCTTACATTAAAACTAAATCCTGGGGATCATTTTAAACATGTGGCTCATTGGTTGCAGGCCACAAGTCTGACCAGCTTCAACCTGACGGTCTGATTAGAGGGTCTAATCGGCCTGCCATGAAAACCTCTCTGTGTTCATGGGGCCACTTCAACAAACTAGTCAGCTGCACGTATTCTGCAAAATGTTAAATATACTTAGCTAATTATAGATTTAATCATAAAAATGAATGTTAGAATCTAGACAAGGCAGAAAGGAGACAATATTGTGGGGGTTTTCGGAAAAGAAATAAGCTGCAGTGCCTGAGGCCTCCTTTGATCGTCATCCCAACTGTTCAAGCGGTGAATGAAGATGTGTATGTGTGGCTGTGCCTGTGTCTGTGTCGTGTGATTGTTAGGAAGGTCAACGGGAGTTTAGGTACGGGCTATCATCGGAAAACTGAGTTTGGGATATAGAGTATAGCGCTCCCCAAATTATCCCATGCTGCCTTTCGCAGGTTTTTCAGGTTTTCTTTTCAGCGCTTTTATGGCCTTGATTTTTTTGCACGAGTTATTGTTCCCTCATACTTTCATCTTTTTACTCCCTTTATTAAGTCTCCTCTCTGCGCAACTCTTAAATATCCTACTTCTTTCTTCTTTTCTCTTTGTTCACTTCTTTTTCCCATCGCTCTCTCTATCTCTATCTCGCTCCCAACACATCATCTTCTGCTGTCACATTTTTTTGGTGCAAATGGTGGTGGTAGTTGACAGCTTTGCAGTTTTATTTTTTGTTTTTTTTAATGAGATATTACAGATCTAGATGTGCTGCTCAGAAAAAGGCTTGCCAGCTCGGCGGAGTGCTCGGTTTACGGGGGATGGAGGAATTTTCCACCAACTGCAGAGCGCTGTGAGATGCAAAGAATGAGAGCGAAAGAGAAGGAAGGAGCGGGTGAGTGCCGATCTGCTGTGAAGCCAGATGACGACGGCGTGCACACAAGAATATATCCGACTCTGGCCCAGGAGACCATGCCATTTCGGACCCTGACCCAGATGGTGGTTTACCATAGACAGCTGCATGTGACAGCCAATCATATCTTCAAAGACATTTCCTTGGCAGTTATTTATTCATCACAATCTGAAAATTTGAGGTTGATGTTGCAGTGCGACGATGGCCGCGTGTGGTGCGTGTCAAGAGAAAAGTGTCACGGCTGTTGATGGCATGCTAATAACAAAGAAATGTCACTTAAAGTTTGTTAAGTGAGTTGTTAAACTGAAAGATATCAAATCCAATGGAGTGAAGTATCGTACTGTAAAAGAGTACGTATTATATTAGTAGTCATTCTCCACTCAACTACATTTTTACTACTCATGTTGTCCTTCACATTGAATGTCTAAAAATGTGTCACTTTGCATAAATGCTTGACTGTGTTATTCACAATAAAACAAAAAAGACCTCAATTCAATTAGCCAATGCAAATCAATACCACAGGGACACCACCTGCATTATGTCAGGGCAAATTGAAGGTGCACTTAACTGGCATGTTAAATTGTATCCATGGCAACTAGTCTCATTGGGGAAGCGGCAAATTGGAAGAATGGAAGCACAAAAGCAGATCACTCACAGTATGACCAGCCTTCACTAAGATGAGGTTTGTGTGCTTTAGACGTGTATTTGCATTTGTGGCTGTTGGTAAGAATCAAATATTCAATTTGCTTCATGCTCGGGTTTGAATTTGGTCACTGCTTTTTATATTCAATAGAAAACATGATAAAACAAATAATTATCTGTTTGTTTATCCACAATGGAAATAAATGTTGGTCTCAACCCTGTTTTCACTTTACTTATTGCACGTTAAAGCCTAAAGGCTACAATAACGCTGTTTTTCTTTTTCCGTGGTATTTTTTCCTTCATGCTCCATAAATAGATGGTTACAATAAAGAAATATAAATAAGTACATTTCTTGCACTCGACAGATAATGATGGCGATACATCATCCTGACAGTGGATTTAGAGTATTGTTGGCATAACAGCCACAGGTTGAAGTCAGATAAGATACGCTTGCATTCATTAGAATTTCTACTTGCATGACAGTGATTCGTTTGAGGAGAAAATTAAATTTGAACTGTGTTTCCGTCCCACTTCCCTTTGTCTGTATAGTGGCTCTACTATTACCTGACTCAGCTATGAAATAATTGATTTTCGGTTGATCCTTGTGTTAATCCAAATGCAAATAAGCACATAAATTCCTTAGCATGGTGGCTCACTCCTTTATACCCTCTAGCTCTGGCACGGACACATATCTGCACATCCTTTCATTGCACAGTCCTGGGTGAGTCATAATAAGGTATTGCTTTTAATTATCATACATTTCTAAAAACCCAGAATTATAATCTACAACCAACATATTTGGTGATTATGCTGGGAACATAACATCTATTTATATCCGATTCCCCCGCCTCCTACTAATTCTCTTTTGTGCGTTCTTCTTTCATCCTCTTGCCCTTGCCGGTGCCCAACACTGTACTCCTCTATTCTATCTCCGGTTCGGGAAGAAGAAAAACATTTACCAGAAGTGTTCTGAGTGAACTGCAGAGTTGAACAGACAAATGCGTGAGTTTTCATCTTCTTGCTGAATGCTGAAGCGAGCATAATCATAAGAGAGCTTTGTGGGCTGACAGATTTGTGTGTCTGTTATCAGGATATCAGGGTCATGTTACAGAAACTTAGCCTGACATCTTCGCTCCACTCAGTTGTTGATGACATTTAGATTTCTTATGTAGATTGATGAAAAAAATATATTTAGGAAAAAGACTGTGTTAATGGGTTTCTTATATTAACTATAAGACAAATGGTCCATTAAAAACTGTGCCTCAGACTCTATAGCTAAACCTGACTGTAAGTTATGTTTTCTGTTAGTTAGCCAGCCACTGACATGGGAGAGCTGTTGATATTATAGCTCATCTACTCCGTGTAGCCTACTGGGAGATTTTAATCAAAGACACAGGCAGGCACTAACATTCATAGAGTCAGGTCTGAAAAATCAAATTTATAGTCATGATTAGTATTTCTTAAGTTAAGATAGGAAATTAGGTCTCACGTGCAACAGGAAAGTAGGATTTTACCTCTATGTTAAGATATAACAAGCGTTTGGGGGATTTTTCTTGGCCTCAGGGCTGCATGTGTGTATTCTATTAAAAATGTGGTAAAATCTAAGGAAGGGTTCACACATGATCTATTCCATCAAGCGTTATTTCACACAGCTTAAACCCATTTACATCCCAAAGCAAAGGTTAATCGCAGAGTTCCCCCTCCCGCCCACGAGCACCTTCACTAGAGCACACGCGGCCCAAGGTCACGTCAACAGTAGAAGGAGAAGGGGGAAACTCTGCTATTGTGTATAATATATTAAAATAGCCATATCTTTGCTAAAGGACTGTCTGAAAGAGAAATGGCCGCTGTAATTGGTAACAGGAAGAGATTATACTACACAAACCCCCTATTTGTTCAAATGGAAATGACAATCCGTTAATATTTTATTTAAGGAGATTGTTTGCAGAAACCATACTAATACGGTATGAGACTCCTTGTTTGAAGAAGATTAACAAGTCGGAAAAGAAGCCGCAGAACGTGTAAATGTACAATAAATCTCGTCTTCAATGAATCTAACTCACTTTCAAATTTACAAGCGGCAGCAGTGACAAACAAACCGAGTTTATTACCCAATATGGATCAAAATCCCTTTTACAACTTTTACTGTTGTATAAAGTTAACTTGTATCCATTTAAAAAAGTCCTTATACACAGAGATAGTAAAGACTTGATTTGAGGTGGATTGTATAACAGTTAGTGTTTGTCTGAATTACTTATCCACACTCGATTTATTATGTAAAGTAGGTGACAAATGGCAGGAACCCAGCTTGGACAAGCAGACTAGAGTTTCTGCACCAACCAGAGCAGTTGTCTACTGTCTGCAGTGAACTGACTATGATGACCTCAGAGTGCGTTTTTGTGTGTGTGAGGACCACAGCTTGTCATCTTTATCATTACTGACTTGCTTTTCTCTCAAACAAAAACGAGAGAAAGATATTCAAAGGAGTGACGACTGATTTGAATGCAATACATGCCCCTGTGTTCACCCGCTAAACCTACACACGCATTCACCACCATATCAAAACACAGTGCAGTGCATTTTCCGGAATGAAAGATGTACGTGAGGCACTTCTAACAGTAATTTATGCAGAGCATTAATTTAAATTTGTTATCAAAATCAATTTGGCAGCCTTTAATGGGATGACAGCAAAGGGGCTGCGAGAGAGTCAGTTCCCTGGATGATACATTTGTTAGAAAGCAAAAGACAGTGTCTAAGTGTGTGTGTGTCTGTAATTGTGCTGTGCATTTGTTGGTACATGACATGATTTTTTTTTTTTCGAAGCTGACATAATCATCGGGCTCTCCCGATAGATGAAGAATTATAAATGTTAACAAAACTTGTTTGAACTATTATCATATAAATACTTCTTACTAATACTAATTGGGCTGAATATGTTTAGTTAATATGTGTGTTTGTCTTGACTCACAGTAGGAGCAGCCGTAAACTTCTACCCGCAGACCGATCCGTCCCTCCTCGCTCCAGTCCAGCGGAACGAGCCTCAGGAAGCGCGCCATGATTCCCTGCTGTAGCTCGTGGCGGACTGAGCTCTCCGAGTTGGAGTTCCCGGAGAAGGCCTGTAAAGACAAACACACACACACACACACACACGCAATGAAATGAAGTACATCAAAGCCACAAGCCTGCAGTCAAACAAGCAGCTTTGAGACTGGGAGCAAAAGTGTTTGTTCTGTTCCCCACATCCTGCCCTAAAGAAGCGCGCTCACAAAACATACAAAATAATTATGAATCTACATATCCAACAAGCCCCCCAAAAGACAATCTGACATTAGGGGAATTGAAGAGGAAATTGCATATTGTGTTCAGCTCGGAGTGGATATTAAGACAGTCCCTGTTCATTTCATCTCATATTTCGGGTCTGGTGTCTGGGAAAGATCCACAGGCGCTTGTAGCCGATGCGGTTTACAGGTTCCTTGTCATATTAGCGCTTCGTTCTACACATTCTCAGTCTCTGCCTCTGGAAAAACAACATATTGTATTTGCCTTTAACCAAAAGAAGAGTGATTGGATGATTTTTCTTAGCACATTCAATAAAGCGTGCAAGCCGAGGACGAGGATCGAGGACGGCAGGATTCTTGTCAGTTTATCATGTCTTTCATTATGTAATGGCAGCGATGCACTAAAAAAGACAACAACATAAACTGTAGTTTCTGTAAAATTGTGTAGCTGAGGCAAAGCTTAATTTCAAGGAACTCACAGATCCCCTGTTGTTATTTCTGCTTTGTTGTAATATGTTTGACACTGACCTACTTAGTGAAGCAATCTAATGAGCGAGGGTCGGCCAAATATGTAAATAGTAGGTATACATTTGGGTTCACGCAGCAGAAAAGAGGGACAGAGCAGCATAGCGGAAACCTAGAACACAGTTTAACTCCATCAATTTATCAGTTCACTACAATATGTTGGATTCATGTTAATGTGTATTTAAAGACAATAAATACAATTCTGATTCTGAATCTTATCAACCAAAAATTTCGCGGACCCCCTGTTGAAGGCCTCTGCAATAGAGAGTGGGCTTCATTTAAAGCCCAGCAGGTCACTTGAGGAGAACAAACAAACTAGACAGCCGTGTGTTCCTCTAGATAAGACGCCAAGTGGGCAGGGCAGTGGATGAGTGTGGGGCCGGAAAAGCTCTGCTTAGTCCGCCTGCTTTGAACTGACTCCTCTGTGACCTCTTTGTACCCCTGAAGATAGGCTATCTGCAAAGGAGGAGATGGTCAAGAGTTCAAACTATACTCAAAGCTACTGTGCTTCTACTGTGGGAAGGGCAGAGACACGAGGGGAACGGAGCTTCTATCTCCTCTGTGCCTTTCCCTCACTTTCATTTATAATCTTTCTTCATCCAGGCAAAAGGTTAAACCGACACAACAAACGCAGACTTTTTCATACAGCTTCGCATGACTCTGCAGGGAGCCCTCCAGTACTTTGAGTGTAGCTCCTATTTTCTGCAGGTACACACGTCCTAAAGTTCAGGATTAACAGACTCACTCGAGGTGCCAAGAAACAGTCAATTGGAAAAATTGTAAACACAATTTTAAAATTGTAAAATGTCCTTTGTGTTGAACAGGCCCGTCTTCCACTGGGAGGACAGTGGAAGACGGGCCCCCCCATGACAAAACCAGAGCGATAGACCGAGCCTCAGTGTCCTACCCGCGCATCCGCATCAGTGAATGTTGAGTTGCGTCGGCACTTCCTGTAAAGCCACGGGCTGCTTGGGGGCTGCATAGGAAATGCAGAGTCGGGAATGAGGTCCGTGGAATATGAGAGCTGAATCAAAAAAACTTAAATATGTCCTCAGCACTGAATTATTCCACTGGGGCCACTACTACCCTGCTGACCTGTTGGCGCACTTTTTTCTTCACCTTTTCTCTAAAATCTTCTAAATCCCCACTCAAATCCTGTGCTGTCTATTGCATATTTGCAATACTATTCAGTTTTTTAAAAAACGGCTGTGGTTCTGGCTCAGGTTTTAAAGCACAAAAAGCACAAATGTATCAATTTGCATGCACACATGGGGCACATATGCACACGTACACAAGACCGCCCACACATCACCTTGCCATTTAAACAGTTTCTGCAGCTTTAAAACCTGATGTCAGCCGTAAGCTTATTTCACAGTTGGAAATAAAATGATAATAAAAAAAATAAAAACTCTGAATACTGTGTATCTGCTGAGGATTTAGCTGACTGCGTGCCTAAGACTTTACTTCTTTTGGTCCGGCTGACACTTTCCTCTGCTTGCCCGTCAAGGTATAAGAGATAGAAAGGGAGAGAACAGAACCATTTTTCAGCTCAACCCAAAAGCTCCGTCGCCAATTTCCAGCTTCCTTTCTTTTTTTCTCTATTGTGTTCCTCCCGCTATACGGCACTTATCTGTGCTTGGCTGAATGAACAGCTCAATTCAAAGGCATTACTCTGCACAGCAGAGGGCAGAAGGTAGGATAGGGGGACTGAGAGGAGGAGGAGGAAGAGGAGGAGGATAAAGATGAGGAAAAAGTTTTGAATGCCAAACGCCGGGCAAAAGTCTGCTTAGTCGACCATTTAATTCCATCTCCTCGAAAGCCCCAATCATTAACCGGCATCCACTGAGTAATTGGGAATTTGTGTGTGTCACTTCATATAGTGTTCATGTGTGTCCGTCCATGTCGGTGAAGTGTTCGTCAACTTAACAGCTTTAGACACTTTGACATTTTGTTTAGTCAAGAACTGAGGCAATTTTTGGCAACAAATGCCACAAAGTGCCAGATGGCATTTTTCCAGCGCGTACGTGTGTGTGCGCTCGCTTTAAGGGATCTGTGTGTTTTTCTCTACATTTACGTGTATTTGTGCTTTGGTCATCAAACTACTTTTAAATGTACTGCGGTATTTCTTAAATAAAAAAGGAAAGGAATCATTCTGGTACGTAACTGAAAAATATTTACTCCCATTTTTTGTAGCCTTGTGAAGATATGCATAAAGAATCTGGAAAAAAGGGGACTATGATGTGTTTTAAAAAGTACGAAATAAGCCAATTTAAGGAGCAAATCTTGGATGGGAATCAAAACAACGCAGCGCTGTCACATGATTTCAGCAATCCTAGAGACCAGTGGAGGAAAATTGGGAAAAAGTAAAATAATGAGGGCAGCTGAGAGCCAGAGCGCAAACAACAAGCCACTTTACTTCAGCGGGTCACCAAATGCCCACGTGGTCTCCTCAGTCACACACAAACACGTATTGCTCAACATGTAAACAGAGTAATCGCGCATGTTGGCACATACACACGCCCGGGCATTCGTACTGACACGGTTTACACACACACACACACAAACACACACAAATGCATAAAACAACCGTTATCTACTTTGTCTGCAGCTCTCCCTTTTATTTCCCCTCAGTTACTTATTCTCCATGGCTGCATATTATTCATTTCCTGAATGTGCGTCTGTGTGTCAGAGGGTGTGCAAGCCGGTGAATACCTATTGTGTGTGAGAGCATGTGTGTGTGTGTGTGTGTGTTGGTCAGGCCTTTCCAGAGAACTGATCACCAAATACGGAAAAAACAGAAAGAGAAATCTATTTTCTGATGTTTTCGTGTTGCTGCTGGATGCTTTGTTCGACCAGCGCAGAGTAAGGACCATTGTTTGCGCACGTGAGTGTATGAATGTGTGTGTGTGTGTGTGTGTGTGTGTGTGTGTGCGCTCTCTCCTAACACAGTCAGGGGAAATCAGTTCGGGCTGGTCTGGTCTTTTGTTTTTATGGACAAGTGTACAGGACGAAACCAAAGGGCCATAGAGAAGTGTGTGTGTGTGTGTGTGTGTGTGTGTGTGTGTGTGTGTGTGTGAAGCACTGTGGGTGGTTGTGTTTGCGTGGGCTTGGTCCTCTTCTGTGACAGGACAAACTCTTGTAATGATGAATCTTTAAAACGTTTTAAATTTGAATAGACCAATCTTTTGTTTTCGTGTAGGGACACACAAGGCTGTGGGTTCACGCCAACGCCATTGGCTTATTTCAGAAACATAGCAGGTCTTTTGCTACTGTGATGCGTCGCAAATTACACAATGTTTCTGATAAAAAAAAGTAAAACAAACACTGAAAATTACCACCAGGTCTACCACTACAAAATAGCACTTCAACACACATTAGACAAGCTTCATCCGCCCGCTTTCCAACAAACTAAAGGCAGCAAAATACTTTAACGGCTTTAGGGCAATGAGCAGCTTTATATTATTCATGTCCCGTGCTTGAAACCACGGCAGTAAAGTTCAGCAAACGGGAACAGGACTTATTGAACAGGACGAAAGCTGCCTCAGTGGGAGAGATCCTTCATCTCCTCTGGCGAAACACTTATTGACACTTGGTCAGAATCAAATGTCCCACTCGGGTCGAAGGAACACAACCAAGTTCCGCCGCGGGCAGAAGGTAATTTAACTTTTGTTCCAGGGTTGAAAGTTCCTGTTGAGGCTAAATAATGGTGCGTTTTTTTGAATTTTTTGATTTAACCATGCAGTTTCTAGTTTCTTCTAAATACTTGGATTGTATGGTTGCATCTGTATGTTTTCATATGTATCATTAATATCATGCAGCCTATCACAGTGGAGAGTTCACATCTCTGTCCCTGCTCCTCGTTTCTACAGTACTCAAAACACTGAGGTTGAACTGCACATCTACATTTTCATCAATACTCTAATCCACGTGTTTAATTGTGCAAGCAAGGTGTTTTCCGATATTCTAACGGAAGCTGGGAAATTTGAACAACCTTTTGTGTCCATCGCAGCCAATATCTTGAGCATTGCTATTCCTTTCCGTTTCTCATTAACGGCATTCAGCTTCTAAAAAGAGCTGGTGACAAAGGGAACTGCAATCCTTTGCTTCACATATTGGCTGACAAATGAGGAACCCTTTCAAAAAATCCATTTCATGCAAATACTTTTCTTTGCACTTCCACTTTTCCAGTCGAAAAAAGGAAAAAGGTTTAAGTATCTTGCTGTCATCACTTTTTCCCCCTTCTAACTTCACAAAAATAATCTCTGGTGTGCAAAATATTTCGCTGCGCTGAATTTGATTTTTTACAGAGAAGG